TTTGGGGGGGGGGGGATTTTGCAGAAAATGTTATATAAAATTATTGGGGTTGGGAGGGGGACATGGAAATGTTATATAATGGTATGAGGGTAGAGGTGGGTGAGAAATTTCGTGTTTTTGTGTTATACTTAAGTGGAAATTAGCTGCGCGGTACTCAAAATCAAAACTGCTGCGCGGCGTCTGTGAGATTGCTGCGCGGCCGCGCAGCTTAAAGGGAACATTGGCTGGCTGGTTGGTAACATCATCGGACGGCTAATTGACCCACTTCCCGTAAATTTATCGAGCTGAAACTTGGCACATAGACTCGGTGCCGATGACAACGCATTCTTTCAAATTTTCTGGTAGGGTTATTAAAAAGAAAGTGCGGTTGCAAGCCAGGGGTTTGGGGATTGGGGGGGGGGGGAGCAAAAATTGGAATTTTTTTAAAGTAGGCTACTTAAATGCATATTTTGTCAAATTTTCAGCCGCCCCCCCCCCCCCACAATTGCTCGATATTACATTTTATAAATGATTTGCACGGAAAACTTTGTTTTTAGGTTTAAAAAAAAAATTACCAATACAAAAAATTAACTTGAGCATTTTGATTTTCTATCTGAGCTCCTAATGATTTTTTTTTTAATAACAACTTCCTCGCTCTTTAAGATGCTGCGTGGATTACACGTTATTCAAGAAATTCCACCGCATTAAATTCAACATCTAAGACACCAATCAATCGACCCAAACACTGACCTACTTTTAACGACCAAAACTAAAAACCCAACCTGGAGCACCGACTCCGTGTCCACCAAAACAGCCCCAACCCACTGACAAACCAACACAGCACGCAACCTACCAAACATGAAAAATGAATTATGGCCCAATTTAAAACTTAATGACGCGATTATGTTGTTGGCATTTATTAATTACCGCCAGAGTGTGATGACCTATTTCAACCTGGCATTAAGGATATCTCCGGGCAATGAGACCAAGACGTTAAGTGGTGCGTCCCGTCTCCCTGCACGTAACACTAACACGGCGATCTGGATTCAACTGGCGTTCTATGGTGCATCCAAAACTAATGACATAATTAGTGTCTCGGGAACATATTAAATCGTTGTAGATGACTTCATCAAACAGTTGGTTTCTAGAAGTTTCTCCCCCAGAGCATTGAAAGCCTTCAGCACGTTAAGATTTTTTTGGGGAACGCATTTAATATAGAAGATAAACTCAGTGGATTGCATGTTGAATGTTAGAAACGTATCTTACGCCTAAGCTGAATGGACATCGCTAAGGTTAGTGCCGCATGGAGGCGGAAAGCCATGGACCAGACCAAATAGAATGACGTGGTGGATCAGGCCAGGGCCCTACGCGGGCGGTAGTGCCACTGATGATGAAGGTTAGTGACCTGGTCATTTTGTCAGCTTGTGGCACCGTCCTTTGTATGAGCTTGTCATTCTTTAAGCTTGTCTCACCGTTCTTTGTATGACCTGGTCATTTTGTCAGCTTGTAATGACCTGGTCATTTTGTCAGCTTGTAATGACCTGGTCATTTGTCAGCTTGTATGACCTGATCATTTTGTCAGCTTGTAATGACCTGGTCATTTCGTCAGCTTGTATGACCTGGTCATTTTGTCAGCTTGTATGACCTGGTCATTTAGCCAGCTTGTATGACCTGGTCATTTAGTCAGCTCATATGACCTGGTCATTTAGTCAGCTTGTATGACATGGTCATTTAGTCAGCTTGTATGACCTGGTCATTTAGTCAGCTTGTATGACCTGGTCATTTTGTCATCTTGTATGACCTGGTCATTTTGTCAGCTTGTATGACCTGGTCATTTTGTCATCTTGTATGACCTGGTCATTTTGTCAGCTTGTATGACCTGATCATTTTGTCAGCTTGTATGACCTGGCCATTTTGTCAGCTTGTATGACCTGGCCATTTTGTCATCTTGTATGACCTGATCATTTTGTCATCTTGTATGACCTGGTCATTTTGTCAGCTTGTATGACCTGATCATTTTGTCATCTTGTATTACCTGGTCATTTTGTCAGCTTGGTGGTGATGGTGGGGTGGGACGTCGGGGTGGGGTAGAGAATGGCAAATATGGGGTAAACATGAGAACTACCTAGAAATACAAGATACACGACACTACAGACGACAACAACAACCCCCCTCCCCCCCCCCTCAAAACAGGATGTAATTGCCTGGTGGTTCAACTGAATCAATGTCCACAGTGACAGAGAGTAGGCCAAACTGTACCAAGGTATGTTTTCAATTAATCGACATTCTGCTGAGCGGTTTCTTAAAAAAACAACAACACACACACTTGGGAACAAGAACCCATATGACATACAAATAATTTCTTTAGAGGCCGGCACCCCGCTCATTCAGAAAACATGACTTGGGAACAAGAACCCATATGACATACAAATAATTTCTTTAGAGGCCGGGACCCAGCTCATTCAGAAAACATGACTTGGGACGCGTGTAGGAATGTATCGCACATCCTTGTGTCATTAAGTTTCTTAACATAAGCACGCATGCCACTCTATCGTTGATAGGGCCTTATTTGTTACATCACTTCTCATATCCATCACTGTATTGTTGATAGTAATGTTATTTAAACAACCTATCAAACCATCAGTTTATTGTTTTATTTGTTTGACATATAAAACATATCAATCAACCAATCCAAGATAAAAACACAAATCATTTACTCCATCCATGATATAAAAAAAAACCCACACATGAATCCCTCAATCCCTGACATATAAACACACATGAATCCCTCAATCCCTGACATATAAACACACATGAATCCCTTAATCCATGACATAAACATACATGAATCCCTCAATAACAGTCATATAAACACACATGAATCCCTCAATCCAAGACATATAAACATACATGAATCCCTCAATCCCTGACATATAAACACACATGAATCCCTTAATCCATGACATATAAACACACATGAATCCCTCAATCCAAGACATATAAACATACATGAATCCCTCAATAACAGTCATATAAACACACATGAATCCCTCAAACCCTGACATATAAACACACATGAATCCCTCAAACCCTGACATATAAACACACATGAATCCCTCAAACCCTGACATATAAACACACATGAATCCCTCAAACCCTGACATATAAACACACACGAATCCCTCAATCCCTGACATAAAAACACACAGTTGAGGGAAACCTAATGTTATTTTATTGCAGTGACAACCCGTGACGCATCCTGTCACCTAGATCTTCGCCAGTGTAGTCAGGTTCTTCTTGAGAAACTCGACCGGGATGTTGTCAAAATCGTAGAGAGCGTCCCCTATTGTTCCAATCACTGCAACCAGGCACGGGATGGCCAAAATATTGAGGACAAATCCAATTTTGGCCTGAAGAGGAGAACATTAAAA